AATACATCGCCACCAATGCTTCGACTATGGAGGTTACGTGCACAGTAACTTTCATGCCGTTGCTCAACTCCACCTCGACAGCTCTCCATTCCACCTTGCCCGTAGCCTCCGCCAGTAAAGACTTTTCGTACTTCGCCAAGCCAGCACTGTTCTTGTATGATGGCTTCATGTAACCGGCCTCGTGCAAAACGCTCAGTAGAGTATTAATGTCAGTTGCCGACATCCCCATGCCTCCATTAAAACCCCGAATCGCCTTCGCCAAAGCCAGGTCTGTGTCAAATGGGAGCTTCTGTGGACTAAGATCTGCCGTTGCATCCGTTGTTGAGAATTCTATGTCATCACCGTCGCCGTCGCTGTCATTCGACGTCGGAAAGTCAAACGGGGGAGGGTTCACACTGGTTTGTGTAGATGCTGCTCCGCTAGTGGTCAAATGCGGACTTGCTGCGGCACGCGGAGCAGCTCGTGCACGCAGCAGCCGGTTCACGTCATTAGCTCGTTTGCGCTTCAAACCCTCTAGAATCCGTACATTTGCACTCTCTAACGCAGTTGGGCGCTTTCTACAAAACGGTTTGTGATTAATCAAGCCCTGTCCAGTAGTGCAAGTGAATCCACAGGCACATGTAAACTCCATTATCAATAGAGTGGATACAAGGATCTATTGCACCCTGTGGTGCAAGCTTGGAGAAGAACTATGGTGTTCTAAGCTTAATGGTGAAGAATAACAAGCATGGTCTAAAATATATGCAATGTCTTCAACAACATCCCCTGGACTTGCATGCAAAGACCACAGAGCACAAACGGTCATGGCCCTCAGTGGCAAGAGGGGGCAAATCTATGGCTCTAAAACGAACATGGCAAAAAAGAAGCCAAAAAACACTAAAAACGGTACCGACCCCACTAATCCTTCAAGCCGCGGCACTTTCGCGCAATATACCACGCGTCGGCACGCGGCGCATCCGATGGTACGGCGACGAAGTCGCTATTTCTGTCGGGGCGACCCTAAAACTAATGTAGAAACCAAAACGGCGCTGATTTCGGGGCCTGTGGATCTGCAACAGCGAGACGCAAACAAATTGTACGCCTTGTCGGCACGCCGCGCATGCACTGGTGTGTCGTCGAAGTCGCGTTCCGGGCTTTGGCGTCCCTAAAACTAATGTACATCCAAAAAAATTGTTGAGGTACTACGAAGGCTTAGGAGCCATAGCTAGTAGGTCGAGTAATTGAGTTCGAGTGAGTTTGGGTGAGTCGAGAAGATTGCAACAAAAGAGTGGTTTCACTATAGAGCGAGCAGTACAAATAGTCAAGAATGAAGAAAGGTGCACCACCAAACAGAAAGTTAGATGACTACAGTAGTCTACACTACAGGCAGTTACAAAACAATATATAGCATTATATATTATTCTGACAAAATTGAGCTCGAGTCGCGCCCTACGATCTACCCTAAGCTGGACGAGCACCCGTCTGGCATGCGGTACGAGGCAAAGAATGCATGGCGAGGCGTCGTTTCCTTCAAAAAAAAACCGCTGAACTCGGGTAAACCGGGCGGTTCCAGCGAGTTAGCGGGTTCCAGGGAGGCGCCATGGCGGGCTACTTATAAACCAGCTCTACGAGAATAATGTGCACTTCGAGTGAGGAGGGAAATGGAGGGGTTGGAGGGGAACAGCCGCATGATGCGGGCACTGATAAAAAGTGCGCAAAAACGTTCTCAACCGCGTACCACACCCTTCGCCCCTAACTCCAACGGCGACAAAGCAAAAAGTTACATGCCGTATTCGCACGTAACAGGGTGTGCGACTCCGTCAACATTCTGGTCCAGCTGGATTTTTTGCGCACTGAAAATGAGCCGTCCGAAGGGCTCATTTACCTGGTGACCGCTACGGTCATTCGCCAACGGTAAGTGTTCTGGTAACCGGAGGCGTACGCGTCTACATTTCTTCATGGGAATGAGACAATGTGATTCCCAAAACTTACAAAAGATTCGCATACATTGACGTGTTCATTTTCAGTCTTCACCATTTTTTTTACAATATTAGTTGAGCACGGAGTTCTATACACAACCGCACCGAATTTCACCGAGCGGTGTTCATCGACCAAACGGGATGAGTTTTGCACCGATTGCCCGCTAACTGTTCCGTGACTGCACGAATCGAAATTAGGGTAACTGCGGGAGATCGCAGGCAGCTCGGAAACAGAGGGCAATTAGAAAAAAACACCGCAAGAAAACTGCAGGGATGCGATATCGCCAAGCTTACCGCCGGCTGTTTCCCCGCGAACACCTGCAGAGTTGCGATGGACAGACGCGCACCCGTTGCGCGCATGGCGAGGGACAGCCCGCCGTGGAGTCAGTGCATGTGAACACGCCCTGCGAAGAGTTGCGCGGTTAATACTGAGGAGGCGCTACGCGGAAGCTTCCAATTCACGGTGGCGTGTGTCAAATTATAATATTGTGTAGGCTATAGTGGGGTAGCCTATATGGGGTACACATTTCTAGGGTTGCATATTTGTATCACTTCCATTCCTTAGTGATTCATTCTCGTTCTACTTTCCTCATGGTATCGAGCAGGTTCCCCCTTGGGAACTGTGCCTAGGGCCCACCACATCGAGTTTCATTTTTTTTTTCTCCTGCCCGAAGCACGCTCCGCCCGAGTCGCGCTCCGGGCTCTCACCTCGCCGAGCCGCCCTAGCGACCCCTACGCCCTAGCGGCCCTATCGCCCTAGCGGCCCCTTCCCCTAGCGGCCCCGCCGCCCGTCGATTCGGCTCCGCCGCCCTTTAGTGCGGCCCCGCCGTCCGTCTCAGCGGCCCCGCCGCCCTTCTCAGCAGGCCCGGCCCTACTCAGCGGCCCCACCGCCCATCGCTGCGGCCCCGCCCTTCTCAGCGGCCCCGTCGCCCCGCATTGCGGCCCCGCCGCCCGTCTCCACGGCCCCGCCGCTCGTCGCTGCGGCCCCGCCCTTCTCGGCGGCCCCGTCGCCCCACATTGCGGCCCCGCCACCCATCTCAGCGGCCCCGCCGCCCTTCGCTGCGGCCCCGCTGCCTCCCCCGGTGCAGCCCCGCCGCCCTACTCAGCGGCCCCGCCGCCCTTCTACTCAGCGGCCCCGCCGCTCTACTCAGCGGCCCCGCCGCCCTACTCAGCGGCCCCGCCGCCCTAATCAGCAGCCCCGCCGCCCTTCTACTGCGGCCCCGCCGACCTTCTACAACGGCCCCGCCGCCCTACTCAGCAGCCCCGCCACCCTTCCACTGCGGCCCCGCCGCCCTTCTCGGCGGCCCCGCCGCCCCTCGCACCAGCGGCCCTCCCGCCCTACACCGCTCGCGCCGCCCGAGCCGCCCGAATCGCCCGAGCCGCCCGAGCCACCTGACCTGCCCGAGCTGCCCGAGCCGCCCGAGCCGCCCGACTCTCCTGAGCCGCCCGGGCCGCCCGACCAACCCGAGCCGCCCGAGCCGCCCGAGCCGCCTGAGCCGCCCGAGCCGCTTGAGGAGCCGAGCCGTTGGCACCACGGAGCCGCAGTTGCTGCTGAGCCTTCTGAGCAGCCGTGTTGCTGTGTTGCAGTACTGCTGAGCTGCCCGACCCGCCCTGTCCGGTGAGAGCAGCGCTTCTGTCACTACACTGCCCCTGTCCTACAGTTGGTACTGCTAGTTTACTGCTGTCATGGCTACCCCCAGTGTTCTCGCTTTTGACGCTGAGGGTCGAGCCATTGACTTCGAGGTTTGGGTAGATGACCTGCAGCTTTTCCTACAGTGCGATAGGGCAAACAGTCTCTCCCTCTTTGACCTCACCTCTGGCGCCTCTCCTGCCCCTGCTGCTGATGCTGACGCCACTGTTTGCTCCCAGTCGGCCACGCGCGATGCTGCTGCACGTCTTGCTGTGCGTCGCCATCTGCCTACCACTGAGCGAGCGCACTCTAGTCAGTACAAGAGTGCTCAAACCTTGTACGACGCTGTAGTTGCGCGCTACTCTTCCCCTGCCACTGCTGCACTGAGCCGCCTCATGCTACCGTACCTCTTTCCTGACCTTGCTACCTTTCCCACAGTCGCTGACCTCATTACGCACCTCCGCACTAGTGACACTCGCTATCGCGCCGCGCTTCCTGTTGAGTTCTGCGCCAAGAACCCCCCCCCCATGTACATCACTCTCAATTATATAGTCACCCGCTTCCCTGAATCCCTTCGCGTAGTCAGGGACCACTTCCTCTCAGTCTGTCCCACCACTCTCACTGTTGACCTCCTAGAGAAGGCCCTCCTAGCAGCGGAGAAGAGCATAGTCGCTGTAGGAGCCTCTCGTGGTGACCCTCGCACCCCCATCTTTGAGGGGTGTTCCCCTTCCCCCCTGTTGCCCTCTGTCGCCTCTGCTGCTGCGGCCGACCTCGTTGGTCTTGAGTCGGTCGGTGCGGCGTCTGCCCCTAGCGGGAGACGCCGCTCTGGCAAGGGCAAGGGGGGCAAGGGCACGGGTGGAGCTAGCGGGGGTGGTGGAGGTGGTGGTGGAGGCGGCGGAGGGAGTGGGGGTGGCGGTGGGAGTGGGGGTGGCGGTGGGAGTGGTGGCGGGGGTGGAGGTGGCGGTGGCAGCAGCGGAGGCGGAGGCGGCGGCTGCGGTAGCGGTGGCAGCGGAGGCGGCGGTGGTGGCGGAGGTGGAGGCGGCGGTGGTGGAGGAGGTGGAGCTGGTCGGGGTGGTGCTTCGCAGCGGAGCGGCTCCGGGGGTGGTCAGCGCCAGCAGCAGCAGCAGCAGCAGCAGCGTTCTCGGGACATCCCCCCTCCGCAGCTGCTCCGTGAGTGGTAAACCCAGCGTCAGCCTGGTGGGGGTTTTGGCCCGTGCACCTACGTCCTTCACTCTGGCGACAGCGCGGGTGAGCAGTGTGGGGGTGCCCACCCCACCCAGCGCTGCTTTGGCCGCCTGACGGACGCTTGGCGTCAGCAGTTCCCGGAGGCTAGTGAGATCCCCCGCTGGGGAGAGCTGTCTAGGGCAGGCGTAGCTATCTATGATCTTGACTTTGATGCTATCCTTGCTGCCATGTATGTTGTGACTATTAGTGATGAGGGTGACTGTTACCGGTATTTCCCGCCCGAACCGGCCATTGGTACTGCTGCTCTAGGTGCTGGTGAGGCTGCTGCTCTAGGTGCCAGTGCGTCTGCGCCCTCAGGTGCTGGTGAGTCTGCGCTCTCAGGTACCACGTCGGCTTCGGCCTCCCTCACCTTCACACTTGACTCAGGGGCTTCTCGCTCCTTCTTTCGAGACCGCACCACACTCACGCCGCTTGGTCGGCCGGTTGCAGTCTCCCTCGCGGACCCCTCTAGGGGTCCTGTCCTCTCTCACTTCTCCACTGTCCTCCCGTGTCCGGCTGCCCCCTCTGGCACCTTGTCTGGTCTTTACCTCCCCTCGTTCTCGACGAACTTGGTGAGTGGTGCTGACCTGCAGGATACGAGGTTTCACCAGTTCACTCCTGCGAGTCAGCGGGTGACCCACTGCTCGGACGCTCGCACGGGCCGGCACCTGGCCACCTTTACGCGTCGGCCGGGGTCGAGCCTCTACACCCTGACCACTGGGTCCCCTCCTGTCCCTGCTTCTGGCCAAGTAGCTGCGTCGGGTCAGGTGTTTGCTGCAGCGTCCAGGTCTGGTCCTGAGTCTGCCCCCTGCTCGTGTCGCCTCCTGTCTCACGAGACTCTCCTGTGGCACCACCGTCTTCGTCACCCCTCCCTGCCTCGTCTCTGAGGCATGGCTTCCCGTGTCCTTGTCTCTGGTCTTCCCCGGTCCCTCCCTCCCCTTCCTCCTAGGCCTGGTCCTTCCTGTGTCCCCTGTGTTGAGGGGCGGCTCCGGGCTGCCCCTCACTCCTCTTAGTTTCCCCCGATAGAGGCTCCACTGCAGACGCTTCACATGGACGTGTGGGGCCCAGCCCGCGTCCGTGGACAGGGTCTCGAGCGCTACTTCCTGCTGGTGGTTGACGACTACTCGCGTTACACCACAGTCTTCCCCTTGCGCAGCAAGGGTGATGTCACTGAGGTGTTGTTCGACTGGATCCGCGCAGCTCGTCTTCAGCTCAGGCGGAGCTTCGGCTCGGACTTTCCTGTTCTGCGTCTGCACTCTGACCGAGGCGGAGAGTTCTCCTCTGGCCTTCTGCGAGCCTACTGTCGTGCGCGAGGCATCCGCCAGACCTTTACGCTTCCGGACTCTCCACAGCAAAATGGGATTGCTGAGCGCCGCATTGGCATGGTCATGGACGTCGCTCGTACGTCCATGATGCATGCGGCTGCCCCCCATTTTCTGTGGCCGTTTGCGGTTCGGTACGCGGCACATCAGATCAACCTTCACCCCAGGGTCTCCACGCTGGAGACCTCCCCAGACTTGCTGTGGACGGGGAAGGTCGGCGATGCGTCTGCGTTCCGTGTCTGGGGATCTCGGGCGTTTGTCCGCGACTTGTCTGCGGACAAGCTGTCCCCTCGTGCTGCTCCCTGTGTCTTCCTAGGCTTCCCCCCTGACGCCCCTGGGTGGGAGTTCTACCACCCCACCTCTCGTCGTGTTCTGTCCTCCGAGGACGTCACGTTTGACGAGTCAGTCCCCTACTACCGCCTCTTCCCCTACCGCACTCCTTCCCTCCCCCCGCCACCGCACTTCCTTGTGCCAGGTCCCCCCCCGGTAGACCCCCTCCCCCCTCAGGGTCCTGCCCCTTCAGGTGTGTCCCAGGTAGACGCAGTCGAGCCGGTCGAGGTTGCTGGTGACTCTGGTACTGCTGCGGGTGCTGAGCCTGGGGGTGCTGACTCTGGGGGTGCTGCGCTTGGGGGTGCTGATTCTGGGGGTGCTGCGACAGGGGGTGCTGAGCCTGGGGGTACTGCGACTGGGGGTGCTGAGCCCGGGGGTGCTACGATTGGGGGTGCTGAGCCTAGGGGTGCTACGTCAGGAGCTGCTGAGCCTGGGGGTGCTGCGTCTAGAGCTACTGAGATTGGTGGTGCGGAGCCAGCGCCCGCTAGACGTGCTCGTGTGGCGTCTGGCGGTGCTCGGCCTCGAGGTTCTCCAGGTGCTTCGTCTCGGCGGGAGCCACTCTCTCCACAGGAGCTGCGCGAGTGGTTAGCCCGCCGCTGGAGGCGTACTGCTGGAGCTGGAGCTTCTTTGGCTGCTGAGGGTGCTAGTGCCGCAAGTCCCGGAGGTGCTCGTCCAGGGAGTGCTGGAGCTGCTGGGCCTGCGGGAACGACTGGAGCTGGAGCTGCTGAGGGTGTTGGCGCTGAGGCTACTGCAGTCGGTCCTGGCGGTGGTCCTGCTTCGGGTACTGCTGGTACTGCTGGAGGTCCTGCAGCTTAAGGTGCTGTTGGCGCTGGTGCTGACGCTGCGGGTCCTGGTGCTGTCCCTGCTGTGTGTGGAGTCGCCGCGCGGCCTCGGTCGTACTTCGTTCCGCTCCTTTAGCAGGTTCTTGGTCTCCCGCCTTCTACGGGTCCTCCTCCTCCCTTAGAGTGTCCACAACCTGTCCAGTCAAAGTCACAGTTACCGCCCGCCTCCCCACTGCCTGCTCCCTCTCCTTACACTGGTCCTACTAGAGGTCTTGCTGAGCGTCGTGAGCCTGCGTCTCGCCCTGCGTTGCCTGTTCGTAGTGCTCGCGCTAGTGGTCGCGGTTCGCGTCAGCGTCCTCCTCCTGTCCCTAGCACGCACCGGATGTCTCTGCGTCCGTCCACTGCTCCTCTGCGTGCCCCTTTGCCTTCTCCTCCTACGTCCTCTCTTCCTGCACTTGCCTACCCGGAGCCGGACTCTCTTCGTGCTGCCAGTCCTACCGTCACCCGTCTCCTTACTACTGTCGTCACTGGCCCCTCTTTCGAGTCCAGTGCTGCGTCTGCTCTTGTTGCTGAGCTCGTCGACTTTGCTGCTCGCTGTCGTCTAGACTACGCTGCTATTCTTGTTGCTGAGTGTGCGTCTGTCTGTCCTCCGTCCATCGGGGGTGAGTGTGCTCTTGGCACGGACGTCCTTGAGGACAGGCAGGAGGAGTTCCCGTGTCTGGCTGCTGGTTCACCTCATCTCGCGTCCGTACTGCTTACCCCTGAGGGAGACCCGAATGCACTAGACATCCCGACTCCGCGCTCTTACGCGGAGGCCGTAGAGGGTCCCTACTCCTCTCAGTGGCAGGCAGCTATGGATGCAGAGATGGCTTCCTGGAAGTCCACTGGCACCTACGTTCACGCGGTTCCTCCTCCTGGGGCGAACATCGTCAGTGGCATGTGGATCTTCAAAGTAAAGCGGCCACCGGGCTCTCCCCCTGACTTCAAGGCGCGGTACGTGGCTCGTGGCTTCAGTCAGCGGCAGGGAGTTGACTACTTTCAGACCTTCTCTCGCACCCCGAAGATGACCACTCTTCGGGTGCTGCTACACATAGCCGCTCAGCGTGACTACGAGCTTCACTCCCTTGACTTCAGCACAGCTTTCCTGCAGGGTAGCCTGCACGAGGAGATCTGGCTGCGCCGTGCACGTGGCTTCACTGGGACTTTCCAACCTGGCACCCAGTGGAGCCTCCGACGGCCAATCTACAGTCTCCGCCAGGCACCGCGCGAGTGGCATGACACACTGAGGACTACGCTTGCGGCTCTTGGGTTTGCTCACTCTACTACTGACCCGTCGTTGTTTCTGCGCACCGACACCTCTCTGCCGCCGCTCTACATCCTCGTGTACGTCGACGACTTGGTCTTTGCCACAGCTGACACTACTGGACTCGCCCACGTGAAGTCCGAGCTACAGAAGAGACACACGTGCACAGACCTGGGTGAACTGCGCAGCTACCTTGGCTTGTAGATCACCCGGGACAGAGCACACCGCACCATTACCTTGACTCAGTCACACATGGTGCAGCAGGTCCTTCAGCGCTTCGGCTTCACGTACTCCTCGCCTCAGGCCACTCCTCTGTCTACTCGCCACTCGCTCTCAGCTTTGCCTTCGGATGAGTCCGTAGAGTCGAGTGGCCCGTACCCAGAGCTTGTTGGCTGCCTCATGTACCTGATGACCTGCACACGACCTGACCTTGCATACCCTCTTAGCATTCTTGCACGCTATGTTGCTCCTGGGAGACACAGACCAGAGCACATGGCTGCAGCGAAGAGGGTGTTGCGCTACTTGTGCAGTACGTCGGGCATGGGGCTAGTGCTTGGAGGGCGGAGTCCAGTGGTCCTCACTAGGCACGCGGACGCTTCTTGGGCTGACGACCAGGCTACGCAGCGGTCGTCACAGGGTTACACCTTCAGCCTTGGTTCCGGCTCTGTTTCGTGGCGGGCTACTCGCTCGTCTTCTGTTCTCGGCTCCAGTTGTGAGGCTGAGATCTACGCCGGGGCCATGGCTGCACAGGAGCTTCGCTGGCTCACCTACCTGCTGACTGACCTAGGAGAGCCGCCTCGTTCTCCTCCAGTGCTGTACGTAGACAACAAGGCCATGCTGGCCTTGTGTCGGGAGCAGCGCCTGGAGCACAGAACGAAGCACATTGCTCTCCGCTACTTTCTTGCTCGTGAGTTGCAGCAGCGTGGTCAGTTGCGACTTGCGTACGTGGCCTCTGAGGCCAACACTGCTGATGTTTTCACCAAGGCACTTACGCCAACAGCACGTTGGACTGCCCGTGCACGCACACAGGAGGTGGGGGGGGGTGGGAAGGAACGGTGATTGGATAGGGGTCAGCTTATGTGGGCCCGTGGTGCTCTGCGCGGCCTTAACAGCTCCTCACAGGCCCTGCGGTGTGGCGTGGGTGAACAGGTTGAGGGCGTAGGTGCAAGCGGGAAGGAGTGTTGCAAGCTGGCGTGCGGGAGAGGTGAGTGAGGCAGGACAGTGAGGGTGAGGCAATGGGATATGGTGATATGCTGCGAGAGACGAGCAGCACGTGGCTTTTTCGAAGACTCCCTCGCCATTTCTGCATCATCAACATCACAGCATCACAACATGTATTTCCTTGCCGTGCTTCGCGCCCTCCCCATGTCCGCGCCTCATGCAAGCATGCCCCTCACATCCGTCGCAGTGTCACCTCCCGTGCGCCCCCCTCACCTGGAAGCACGAGCCCCCTCACCTGGAAGCACGAGCCCCCTCACCTGGAAGCACGAGCCCCCTCACCTGCCCTCCCGGCACGTCGCGGCCCTGCCCTGTCGCCGCAAGTCATGGCCTGACCCAGCCGCCCGTCGCGGCCTGACCCAGCCGCCCATCACGGCTCTGCTTTGCTGCCACCCGTTGCGGCCCTGCTTTCAGCCGCTCGTCGCGGCCCTGCTCTACCGCCGCCCCGTCGCGGCCCTGCCCTGCAGCCGTCGTGTCGTGGTCCTGCCCTGCTGCCGCCCCGTCGCGGCCCTGCCCTGCTACCGCCTCGTCACGGCCCTGTCCTGCAGCCGCCCTATCGCGGCCCTATCCTGCTGCCGCCCCGTCGCGGCCCTGCTCTACCGCCTCATCGCGGCCCCGCCCTAACCGCCAGTCGCGGCCCTGCACTGCACCCGCCCCTGGTAAGCGCCCTCCCTGCCAAGCGCGCCGCTGCGCCCGCCTGCCTGTCGCGCCGCGCTGCCCAGCTGAGCCGCGCCGCCCTGCTGAGCCACGCCGCTCTGCCGAGCCGCACCGCCCTGTCGAGCCGCGCCGTCCTGCCCTACTGCTACTGCTGCTGCTACTGCCGCCATGGCTAGCCCTACTGTTCTTACCTTCCATGCGAAGGATCGTGCGGTCGATTTCGAAGTTTGGGTAGATGACCTGAAGCTCTATCTTCAGTGCAACTCTAGGGACGGAGTCTCGCTTTTCGATCACACGTCCGGCGCCTCTCTTGTACCTACTTCCGATACTCACAGTACGGTTTGCTCGCAGTGGACTACTCGTGACGCTGTTGCTCGCCTTGCTGTTCGTAGTCACCTCCCGTCTGCTGAGCGCGCGCACTTTGGCCAGTACAAGACTGCTAAGTCTTTGTATGATGTTGTCGTCGCACGCTACTCCTCCCCTGCCACTGGTGCCCTCAGCCGCCTCATGCTGCCGTACTTGTTCCCTGACCTGACCACCTTTGCCATAGTCGCTGACCTCATCACTCACCTCCGCACTAGTCACACCCACTACACCGCTGCGCTTCCCTCCGAGTTTCGCGCCACCCCCCCCCCCCCCCTCCCTTGTACATCACCCTCTTCTACCTCGTCACCCGTCTCCCTGACTCTCTTCGCTCAGTCATGGACCACTTTCTCTCCCTTTGCCACACCGAGCTCACCATCGACCTACTCGAGGAGCGCCTCACTGAAGTTGAGACTAGCATATTTGCTGTAGGAGCTTCTCGCGGCGACCCTCGCGCCCCTTTCTTTGAGGGGTGTTCCCCCGTTCCCCTTTTGCCCTCTGTTGCTTCTGCTGCTGCTGTCGACCTCGTTGGCATTGAGGAGGTCAGGGCTGCGTCTGCTCCTAGTGGGAGGCGCTGTAGCGGCAAGGGCAAGGGGGGCAAGGGTGGTGGAGGGGAGGGCGGGGGCGGCGGTGGTGGCGGTGGAGGAGGCGGAGGGGGTGGGGGTGGAGGTGGGGGTGGGGGCGGGAGTGGGGGCGTCGGTGGCGGCGGTGGAGGTGGGGGCGGCAGCGGCAGCGGCAGTGGGGGTGGCGGCGGCGGTAGTGCTGGTCGGGGTGGAGCCGCGTAGCGTGGAGGCTTTGGCGGTAGCCAGCGTCAGCAGTAGTCCCGTTCCCGTGAGGCCCCGTCGCCCTAGCAACTTTGTGAGTGGTACGCAGGGCATGGGAGGTCTTGGGGTGCTGGTCCCTTCGCTTACGTTCTCCGCACCGGCGAGCGCCGTGGGGAGATGTGCGGGCTGCCACACGCAACGCAACGCTGTTTCAGTCGCCTATCTGATGCCTGGCGTGCACTGTTTCCCGACGCCACTGAGCTCCCTCGCTGGGCTGATCTGCTTAAGTCTGGTGTTGCAATCTTTGATCTTGATTACTATGCTATTCTTGCTGCCATGTATGCTGCGACTATTAGTGCTGAGGGTGACTGTTACCTGTGTGTGCTGCCTGACACAGGTATAGAGGCTGCTGCTCTAGGTGCTAGTGAGTCTGCTGCTCCAGGTACTAGTGAGTCTGCTCTCTCAGGTACTGCCTTGCTGAGGCCTTGCACACCTTCACGCTTGACTACGGTGCTTCCCGCTCCTTCTTTCGCGACAGCACCACACTCACGCCGCTCAGTCGACCGGTTGCTGTCTCCGTGGCGGACCCGTCTTGGGGCCCAGTCCTTGCACACTCCTCTACGTTTCTACCGTGTCCGACGGTCCCGTCTGGCTCATTGTCGGGTCTTCAACTCCCCTCGTTCTCTACAAACTTGGTGAGTGGAGCTGACCTCCAGGATGTATGGGTTGACCAGTTCACTCCTGGAGGTCAGCGGGTGACCCAGTGTACGTGTACTCGAACGGGCTGCTACCTGGCCACGTTCACTCGTCGGCCTGGGTTGAGCCTGTACACACTGACTAGTGTATCTCCTCCGGTTGCTGAGTGTGGTTAGGTAGCCACGTCTGGTCAGGTGTTTGCTGGTGCGTCCAGGTCTGGTCGGGAGTCTGCTCCTTGCTCGTGTCGTCTCCTGTCACACCAAACTCTCCTTTAACACCACCGCCTTTGTCACCTCTCCTTGCCTCGACTCCGAGGTATGGCTTCCCGTGTCCTTGTCACTGGTCTCCCCCGTTCTCTCCCTCCCCTCCCCCTGGGGCCTGCCCCTACCTGCGTTCCTTGCGTCGAAGGACGGCAGCGCGCCGCTCCTCGCTCCTCCGAGTTCCCTCCGACGGAGGCTCCCCTACAGACTCCCCACATGGACGTGTGGGGCCCAGCCCGCGTCCGTGGACAGGGTCACGAGCGTTACTTTCTCCTGGTCGTTGATGACTACTCGCGTTACACCACAGTCTTCCACTTGTGCTGCACGGGTGAGTTCACTGAGGTGCTGATCATCTGGATCCGCGCTGCCCGTCGCTAGCTCAGCGAGAGTTTTGACTCGGACCTTCCTGTTCTGCGTCTGCACTCTGACAGAGGTGGAGAGTTTTCCTCCGACCTTCTGCAAGCCTTTTGTCATGCGGAGGGCATCCGCCAGACGTTCACGCTTCCGACCTCCCCACAAAAAAATGGGTTGCTGAGCACCGCATTGGCATGGTCATGGACGTCGCTTGTACGTCCATGATCCATGCGGCTACTCCCCATTTTCTGTGGCCGTTCGCAGTTCAGTACGCTGCGCATCAGCTCAACCTTCAGCCCCGTGTCTCCATGCCGGAGACCATACCTACTCTGCGGTGGACGGGGAAGGTTGGTGATGCGTCTGCGTTCCGTGTCTGGGGATCTTCAGCTTGTGTCCGCAATTCTTCCTTGGACAAGCTGTCCTCCCGTGCTGTTCCTTGCGTCTTCTTTGGCTTCCCCCCTGACGCGCCTGGTTGGCAGTTTTACCACCCCACCTCGCGTCGTGTTCTATCCTCTCAGGACGTCACGTTTGACGAGTCGGTTCCTTACTACCGTCTCTTCCCCTACCGCACTGCCCCTCTCCCCCCCCTCGCCGCTCTTCCTAGCACCAGGTCCTCCTCCGGTAGACCCCCTTCCCCCTCAGGGTGCTGCCCCCTCATGTGTGTCCGAGGTAGACCCTGTCGAGGTAGCTGTTGACTTTGGTACTGCTAGGGGTGCTGAGCTTGCGGGTGCGGGGCCTAGGGGTGCTGAGCCTGTGCGCGCAGAGCCTGGGGATGCTGAGTCTGAGGGTGCAGAGCCTGGGGGTGCTGAGCCTGAGCGTGCGGAGTCTAGGGGTGCTGAGCGTGAGCGTGCTGAACTTGGAGGTACTTCTTCGTGGGGAGGTCCTACGGGTATCTTGTCATGGCGGGAGCCACTCTGTCCACCGCAGTTGCGCGAGTGGTTTGCTCGTCGCTGGAGTCGTGCTGCTGGAGCTGGGGGGGCTACCATTAGAGGTGCTACTGGTGCTGGAGGTACTGCTGGTGCTGTAGCTGGTGGAGGTGCTGGAGGCGCTGGTCCCGGAGGTGCTCGTACTGGAGGTACTGGAGCTGCTGGGGCTAGTGGTGCTGTAGGAGTTGGAGCTGGAGGCGCTAAGGCTGTTACTGCAGCGGGAGCTGCTGGAGCTAGAGCTGCTGGAGGTGCTGGAGCTGGTAGTGCTGCAAGAGTTGGAGTTGGAGACCCTAGAGCTGGGGGTACTGGTGCTGTCTCTGTTGGTTCTAGAGGTGCTGCGCGGCCGAGGCCGTACTTCGTTCCACTCCTTCAGTAGGTTCTTGGTCTCCCGCCTTCTTCTGGTCCTACTCCTCCCTTACTGTATCCGCCGCCTGACCATTCGCAGCCGCAGTTACAACCAGCCTCCCCACTGCCTGGTCCTTCTCCTTGCAGTGGGCCGACCGGAGGTCTTGCGGAGCGTCGTGAGCATGCGTCTTGTCCTGCGTTGCCTGTACGCGCTGCTCGCTCTGGTTGTGTACCGAGTCCGTGTCCTCCTCCTATCCACGGCACGCACCAGATGGCACTTCGTCCTTCCTCTGTTCCACTACGTGTCCCTCTGCCGTCTCCTCCTACGTCCTTTCTTACTTACAGTCCGGACCCGGAGTCTGACTCACTTCGTGCTGCGAGCCCTACTATCGCGCGTCTGCTAGCTACTGTTGTCACCGACCCTTCGTTTGCGTCTACTGCTGCGTCTGCTCTTGTTTCTTAGCCTGTCGACTTTGCTGCCGCCTGTCGTGTCAAAGTTATATTTAAGATAGATCCTGCTTGCTGTAGTTACTGTAGTTATTGTTCTTTGCTGTTGGTGGTGCACCTCTTGTTTGTGTTTCTCGACTATATCTTGTATGCTTTGCTTTAGTGAAGCTAACTTGTTTGGTCAATTTCTCTTGACACTCCCTTGGCCAACAATAGCTTGGCCTAGGCTACCAAGCCTAGGCCCTCCGTAAACCCGGTTACCAGCTACGATAGTGTTTTGACATGGTATCGAGCTACTAGGATCCTACTCCTAGGTGAATGGGCCCACCACCAGCTGTCAATATGACGCGCCCCGTCGATCAGGTCGTTGCGCAGCCCGTTACGTGCATTGCTGGCCCGTCGCTCGCCCGTCGCGCCACCGGCTCGAGGTCCTGCTGCTGCTGCGCTAGCGACGACGAGCTGCGCGAGGGCGCTCGTCGCGCCCCACCGTTACGGCTCCCCCAGTTCACCTGCGGACCCGCGAGCAAGAGAGACAGCGGATCCGCGGACCCGCCTTCAGCGAGCGAGCCAGCGGACCCGCGAACCCACCTTCAACGAGCCCGCCGACGGGCTCGTCACAGGGCCCGCCGACGTCTCAGAACATTATAGCTCATGCATATTGTGTGGGCTATAGTGGGGTAGCCCATAAGGGGTACAACCCAATTAGGGTAAGTACTTGTACCCAATTCATTCATAGTTCATTCATTCTCGTTTCAATTCTCTCATGGTATCAGAGCAGGTTCCCTCGTGGGAACTGTTCCTAGGGCCCACCAATTCGACTTTTTTTTTCCTGCCCGGAGCGCGCTCAGCCCTAGCCCGAGTCGCGCTCCCCCTTTTTTCTCGCCCCGTCGCGCCGCCCTAGCGGCCCTGTCGCCTTCCTTGCGGCCCTCGCGCCGCCCTTCCTGGCCCCGACCCGCCGCCCGGCGGCCTCGTCGCCTACCCCGCAGCCTTCGCGCCGCCCTTTCCCGGCCCCGATATACCGCCCTGCGGCCTCGTCGCCCACCCAGCGGCCCTCGCGCCGCCCTGCGGCCCTGACACCGCACTTACCGGCGCCTACCTGCTGGCCCCGCCACCTACCTGCGGCCCCGCCACCTAACAGCGGCCCCGCCACCTACCCGCGGCCCCGCCACCTACCTGTGCGGCCCCGCCACCTACCTACGGCCCCGCCACCTACCACCGGCCCCGCCACCTACCCGCGGCCCCACCGCCTACCTGTGCGGCCCCGCCACCTACCTGCTGGCCCCGCCACCTACTTGCTGGCCCCGCCACCTACCAGCGGCCCCGCCACCTGCCTGCGGCCCCGCCACCTACTCGCGGCCCCGCCACCTACCTGTGCGGCCCGGCGCCTACCTGCGGACCCGCCACCTACCTGCGGCCCCGCCACCTACCTGCGGCCCCGCCACCTATCAGCGGCCCCGCCACCTACCTGCGGCCCCGCCACCTACCTTTGCGGCCCCGCCGCCTCCTCCCAGCGGCCCCGGACGCCGCACTCTCAGCGGCCCCGCCGAGCCGCCCAGCAGCCGAGTCGCCCAGCAGCCGAGCCGCCCAGCAGCCGAGCCGCCCAGCAGCCGAGCCGCCCAGCAGCCGAGCCGCCCAGCCGATGAGCCGCCCAGCAGCCAAGCCGCCCAGCAGCCGAGCAGCCGAGCCGCCGAGCCACCCAGCAGCCGAGCCGCCGAGCCGCCCAGCAGCCGAGCCGCCGAGCCGCCCAGCAGCCGAGCCGCCGAGCCGCCCAGCTGCCGAGCCGCCGAGTCGCCCTGCAACCGAGCCACCCAAGCCGCCCTGTCCGGTAAGAGCAGCGCCTCTTTCACAGCACTGCCCTCACCCTACTGTTTGCGCTGCTAGTCTACTACTGTCATGGCTACCCCTAGTGTCCTCACTTTTGACGCTGAGGGTCGGGCCATTGACTTTGACGTCTGGATAGATGACCTGCAGCTTTTCTTACAGTGCGATAGGGCACACGGCCTCTCCCTCTTTGACCTCACTTCTGGTGCCTCTCCTGCCCCCGCTGCTGATGCTGACGCCAGTGTTCGCTCACAGTGGGCCACGCGCGATGCTGCTACACGTCTTGCTGTGCAACGCCACTTGCCTACCTCTGAGCATGCGCACTTTAGCCAGTACAAGAGTGCTCAGACCTTGTACGACGTTGTAGTTGCACGCTACTCCTCCCCTGCCACTGCTGCATTGAGCCGCCTCATGCTACCGTACCTCTTCCCTGACCTTGCTGCCTTTCCCACAGTCGCTGACCTCATTACGCACCTCCGCACTAGTGACACTCGCTACCGCGCTGCGCTTCCTGCTGAGTTCTGCGCCAAGAACCCCCCCCCCCCCCATGTACATCACCCTCTACTATATAGTCACCCGTCTCCCTGACTCCCTTCGCGTAGTCAGGGACCACTTCCTCTCAGTTTGCCCCACCACTCTCACCGTTGACCTCCTCGAGAAGGCCCTCCTAGCAGCAGAAAAGAGCATAGTAGCTGTAGGAGCCTCTCGTGGTGACCCTCGCACCCCCATCTTTGAGGGGTGTTCCCCCTCCCCTCTTTTGCCCTCTATTGCCTCTGTTGCTGCGGCCGGCCTCGTTGGTCTGGAGTCAGTCGGTGCGGCGTCTACCCCTAGTGGGAAGCGTCGCTCTGGCAAGGGCAAGGGCGGCAGGGGCGCTGGAGGAGCTAGCGGGGGCGTTGGAGGCGGCGGTGGAGGCAGTAGAGGGGGTGGGGTTGGTGGTGGGAGTGGTGGCGGGGGTGGAGGTGTTGGCGGCGGCAGTGGAGACGGAGGCGGCGGCGGCGGTGGCGGTGGGAGCGGAGGTGGTGGAGGTGGCGGAGGTGGAGGAGGCGGTGGCGGAGGAGGAGGAGGAGGAGGAGGAGGAGGAGGAGGAGGAGGAGGAGGAGGAGGAGGAGGAGGAGGAGGAGGAGGAGGAGGAGGAGGAGGAGGAGGAGGAGGAGGTCGTGGCTCTTTGCAGAGGAGTGGCTCCGGTGGTGGTCAGCGCCAGCAGCAGCAGCGCAGTCGGGAGACTGTGTCCCCTCAGCAGCTCCGTGAGTGGTACGCTGCACGCCAGCGGGGTGGGGGTACTGGTCCGTGCACCTACGTCCTACGCACCGGCGAACGTACGGGTGAGCAGTGTGGGGGTGCGCACCCCACCCAGCGCTGCTTTGGCCGCCTGACAGACGCTTGGCGTCACCAGTTACCTGAGGCCACTGAGATCCTTCGCTGGGGCGAGCTGTCTAGGGCAGAGGTAGCTATCTTTGACCTTGACTTTGATGCTATTCTTGCTACTATATATACTGTGTCTATTAGTGAGGAGGGTGACTATTACCGGTGTTTCCCGCCCGACCCGGGCATTGAGACTGCTGCTCTAGGTGCTGGTGAGGCTGCCGCTCTTGGTGCTAGCGAGGCTGCTGCTCTAGGTGCTAGTGCATCTGCTTCCTCCGGTACTGGTGAGTCTGCGCTCTCAAGTACTGCGTCGGCTTCGGCCTCCCACACTTTCACACTTGACTCGGGGGCTTCTCGCTCCTTCTTTTGAGACCGCACACCGTTACGCCGCTTGGTCGGCCAGTTGCAGTCTCCCTGGCTAACCCCTCTGGGGGTCCTGTCCTTGCTCACTTCTCCACTGTCCTCTCGTGTCCGGCGGCCCCCTCTGGCACCCTGTCTGGTCTTTACCTCCCCTCGTTCTCTACGAACTTGGTGAGTGGTGCTGACCTACAGGATGCGGGGGTTCACCTGTTCACTCCTGCGAGTCAGCGGGTGACCCACTGCACGGACGCTCGGACAGGCCGACACTTGGCCACGTTTACACGTCGGCCGGGGTCCAGCCTGTACACACTGACCACTGCGTCTCCTCCAGTCCCTGCGTCTAGTCAGGTAGCTGCGTCGGGTCAGGTGTTAGCTGTAGCGTCCAGGTGTGGTCCTGAGTCTGCCCCCTGCTCATGTCGCCTCCTGTCTCACGCGACTCTCCTCTGGCACCACCGCCTTGGTCACCCCTCCCTGCTTCATCTCCGAAGCATGGACTCCCATGTCCTTGTCTCTGGTCTTCCCCGGTCCCTCCCTCCCCTTCCTCCGGGGCCTGGCCCTACCTGCGTCCCCTGTGACGAGGGGCGGCAGCGGGCTACCCCTCACTCCTCCCAGTTTCCTCCGACAGAGGCCCCGCTGCAGACGCTTCACATGGACGTGTGGGGCCCAGCCCGCGTCCGTGGACAGGGTCACGAGCGCTACTTCCTGCTGGTGGTTGACGACTACTCGCGTTACACCACAGTCTTCCCCTTGCGCAGCAAGGGTGATGTCACTGAGGTGTTGATCGGCTGAATCCGCGCAGCTCATCTCCAGCTCAGGCGGAGCTTCGGCTCGGACTTTCCAGTTCTGCGTCTGCACTCTGACAGAGGCGGAGAGTTCTCCTCTGGCCTTCTGCGAGCCTACTGTCGTTCACGAGGCATCCGCCAGACCTTCATGCTTCCGGACTCTCCACAGCAAAATGGGATTGCTGAGCGCCGCATTGGCATGGTCATGGACGTCGCTTGTACGTCCATGATGCATGCGGCTGCCCCCCATTTTCTGTGGCCGTTTGCGGTTCGGTACGCGGCGCATCAGATGAACCTTTAGCCCAGGGTCTCCATGCCGGAGACCTCCCCAGCTTTGTTGTGGACCGGGAAGGTTGGCGATGCGTCTGCGTTCCGTGTCTGGGGATCTCGGGCGTTTGTCCGCGACTTGTCTGCGGACAAGCTGTCCCCTCGTGCTACTCCTTGCGTCTTCCAAGGTTTCGCCCCTTACGCGCCAGGGTGGCAGTTCTACCACCCCACCTCTCGCCATGTTCTGTCCTCCCAGGACGTCACGTTTGACGAGTCGGTCGCCTACTACCGTCTCTTCCCCTACCGCACTCCGTCCCTCCCCCCGCCACCGCTCTTCCTTGTGCGAGGTCCCCCCCCGGTAGACCCCCTCCCTCCTCAGGGTCCTGCCCCTTCAGGTGTGTCCCAGGTAGACGCTGTCGAGCCTGTCGAGGTTGCTGGTGACTCTGGTGCTGCTGAAGGTGCTGAGCCTGGGGGTGCTGACTCTGGGGGTGCTGAGCCTGAGGGTACTACGACTGGGGGTGCTGAGCCTGGGGGTGCTGAGTCTGGGGGTGCTGAGCCTGGGGGTGCTACGCCTGGGGGTGCTGAGCCTGGGGGTGCTGAGCTTGGGGGTGCGGAGCCTGAGGCAACTAGGCCTGCTGATGCTGTGCCTGGCGGTTCTCCGAGTGCTTCTTCTCGCCGGGAGCCACTCTCTCAACAGGAGCTGCGTGAGTGGTTTGCCCGGCGCTGGAGGCGAGCTGCTGGAGCTGGAGGTGCTGCGGGTACTGGAGGTTCTGTTGCTTCGGAGGGAGCTGGTGCCACAGGTCTCGGAGGTGCTCGTACTGGGAGTACTAGAGCTGCTGGACCTGCGGGTACTTCTGGAGCTGGAGCTGCTGCGGGTGTTGGCGCGGAGGCTACTGCTGTCGGTCCTGGAGGCAGTCCAGCTGAGGGTACTACTGGTGCTGCTATAGGTACTGGAGCTGGAGCTGCTACTAGTGGTGGTGCTGCCACTGGGGGTGCTGGTGCTGTCCCTGCTGTATCTGGAGTCGCCGCGCGGCCTCGGCCGTACTTTGTTCAGCTCCTTCAGCAGGTTCTTGGTCTCCCGTCTTCTACTAGTCCTCCTCCTCCCTTAGAGTGTCCACAGCCTATCCCGTCGCAGTTACAGTTATAGCCGGCCTCCCCATTGCCTGCTCCGTCTCCCTACACTGGTTCTACTGGAGGTCTTGCTGAGCGTCGTGAGCCTTCGTCTCGCCCTGCGTCGCCTGTCCGTGCTGCTCGCACTAGTGGTCGCGGTTCACGTTAGCGTCCTCCTCCTGTCCGTGGCACGCACCGGATGTCTCTGCGTCCGTCCACTGCTCCTCTGCGTGCCCCTTTGCCTTCTCCTCCTGAGTCTTCTCTTCCTGCTCTTGCCGACCCGGAGTCGGACTCTCTTCGTGCTGCCAGTCCTACTGTTACGCGTCTCCTTGCTACTGTTGTCACTGACCCTTCCTTTGAGTCCACTGCTGCGTCTGCCCTAGTTGCTGAGCTCGTCGACTTTGCTGCTCGCTGTCGCCTAGACTACGCCGCCAATCTTGTTGCTGAGTCTGGGTCGGTCTGTCCTTCGTCCGTCGGGGGTGAGTGTGCTCTTGGCACGGACGTCCTTGAGGACAGGCATGAGGAGTTCCAGTGTCTGGCTGCTGCTTCACCTCATCTCGCGTCCGTACTACTTGCCCCTGAGGGAGACCCGGATGCACTAGACATCCCGACTCCGCGCTCTTACGCGGAGGCCGTAGAGGGTCCCTACTCCTCTTAGTGGCAGGCAGCTATGGATGCAGAGATGGCTTCCTGGAAGTCCACAGGCACCTACGTTGACGAGGTTCCCCCTCCTGGGGCGAACATCGTCAGTGGCATGTGGATCTTCAGGGTGAAGCGGCCGCCGGGCTCTCCACCTGTCTTCAAGGCGCGGTACGTGGCTCGTGGCTTCAGTCAGCGGCAGGGAGTTGACTACTTTCAGACCTTCTCTCCCACCCCGAAGATGACCACTCTTCGGGTGCTGCTGCACATAGCCCCTCAGCGCGACTACGAGCTCCACTCTCTTGACTTCAGCACAGCTTTCTTGTAGGGTAGCATGCACGAGGAAATCTGGCTGCGCCGTCCACCTGGCTTCACTGGGACTTTCCCTCCTGGCACCCAGTGGAGCCTCCGACGGCCAGTCTACGGTCTCCGCTAGGCACCGCGTGAGTGGCACGACACACTGAGGACTACGCTTGCGGCTCTTGGGTTTGCTCCCTCTACTGCTGACCCGTCGTTGTCTCTGCGCACCGACACTTCTCTGCCGCCGTTCTACATCCTCGTGTACGTTGACGACTTGGTCTTTGCCACAGCGGACACTACTGGACTCGCCTACGTTAAGTCCGAGCTGCAGAAGAGACACACGTGCACAGACCTGGGTGAACTGCGCAGCTACCTTGGCTTGCAGATCACTCGGGACAGAGCACGACGCACCATTACCTTGACTCAGTCACACATGGTGCAGTAGGTCCTTCAGCGCTTCGGCTTCACGTACTCCTCGCCTCAGGCCACTCCTCTGTCTACTCGCCACTCGCTCTTAGCTCTGCCTTTGAATGAGTCCGTAGAGTTGAGTGGCCCGTACCCAGAGCTTGTTGGCTGCCTCATGTACCTGATGACCTGCACATGACCTGACCTTGCATACCCTCTTAGCATTCTTGCACGCTATGTTGCTCCTGGGAGACACTGACCGGAGCACATGGCTGCAGCGAAGAGGGTGTTGCGCTACTTGTGCAGTACGTCGAGAATGGGGCTTGTGCTTGGAGGGCAGAGTCCAGTGGTCCTTACTGGGCACACAGACGCTTCTTCGCCTGACGACCAGGCTACGCAGCGGTCGTCACAGGGTTACACCTTCAGCCTTGGTTCCGGCTCTGTTTTGTGGCGGGCTACTCGCTCGTCTTCTGTTCTCGGCTCCAGTTGTGAGGCTGAGATCTACGCAGGAGCCATGGCTGCACAGGAGCTTCGCTGGCTCACCTACCTGCTAACTGACCTCGGAGAGCCGCCTCGTTCTCCTCCAGTGCTGTACGTAGACAACAAGGCCATCCTGGCCTTGTGTCGCGAGCAGCGACTGGAGCACAGAACGAAGCACATTGCTCTCCGCTACTTTCTTGCTCGTGAGCTGCAGCAGCGTGGTCAGCTGCGTCTTGCGTACGTGGCCTTTGAGGCCAACATTGCTGATATCTTCACCAAGGCGCTTGCGCCTTGTGACCATCAGCGCTTCTGTACTCAGCTGGGCCTTGTGCCTGTTATAGTCACAGTAGGCTCCAATATGCCTAAAACGAAAGATAGAGTGCACAGTCGGATTTCTGCACAGCGGCTTCAAATGTTCATAGCGTTCTGGTCACAGCTTCAAATGAATTGATTCAACTTCGATCTGAAGCGTATTTTTGTCGCCTACACTAGGCAATTTAGATCGCACGATTTGACCAAGTATTGACGACACAGCGTTGGTTTGAACGAACGGCACTATGGCAGCCACTATAGTCTTAGAACACAAAATAGGAAGAGATATGAAGAGTTACGAGTTGGGAATGACTCCCAGCTCCTACAAACCCCAAGAGCCGAGGTACAGGGATGTGGAACAGAGCCACACTGTCCCCAACCACGAAGGGTCTCGAAACTACCCTTCACTAGGGCCTACACCAAGTGAAATGTAACACTTCACAAAGTAATGTAACTATCTTCAATATCTTGAGGTGTACCCTTTTGGCGAGCTTCGAAAACACTTGAGGCTTGACACCAAGGCTCGGGCTCTTCATCACAAACTCATCCTTGAGTTCTTGATGGGTCTGCTGCACACACCTGCGACACACCGAACGTTCGACACAGGACAAAATAGAAACCGCGCACGACAAAAATTGAAACCGCGCGAGAGACACAAACAACCGCGTAACACGCGTCTAGCGATAACTAGCTATTGACTCGAGACACACACTCGACATCATGACTCAACATTCACACACAATTATAAGCATGAAATATATATTATCCCATGCCCTCATACCATTCCATACACACACACATGCACGCACACGGACAACAAGCCGAATGCAAACCGTAGGGTTGCACCAACAGTCAGCAGGTATGTGAGCCAGCGAAGCTCCTTTGCAGCCATGGCCCCTGCGTAGATCTCAGCCTCACAACTGGAGCCGAGAACAGAAGACGAGCGGGTAGCCCGCCACGAAACAGATCCGGAACCAAGGCTAAAGGTGTAACCCTGTAACGACCGCTGCGTAGCCTGGTCGTCAGCCCAAGAACCGTCTGCGTGCCCAGTGAGGACCACTGGACTCTGCCCTTCAAGCACAAGTCCAATGCCCAAAGTAGTGCACAAGTAGCGCAACACCCTCTTCGCTGCAGCCATGTGCTCCGGTCGGTGTCTCCCAGGAGCAACATAGCGTGCGAGAATGCTAAGAGGGTATGCAAGGTCAGGTCGTGTGCAGGTCATCAGGTACATGAGGCAGCCAACAAGCTCTGGGTACTTGCCATTCGACTCAACGGACTCATCCGAAGGCAGAGCTGAGAGCGAGTGGCGAGTAGGCAGAGGAGTGGCCTGAGGCAAGGAGTACGTGAAGCTGAAGCGCTAAAAGACCTGCTGCACCATGTGTGACTGAGTCAGGGTAATGGTGCGGCGTGCTCTGTCCCGGGCGATCTGCAAGCCAAGGTAGCTGCGCAATTCACCCAGGTTTGTGCACGTGTGTCTCTTCTGCAGCTCGGACTTCACGTGGGCGAGTCGAGCAGGACGAGACGCAGGCTCACAACGCTCAGCAAGACCTCCAGTAGGACCAGTGTAGGGAGAAGGAGCAGGCAGTGGGGAGGCCGGCTGTAGCTGTAACTGTGACGGGACAAGCTGTGGACACACTAAGGGAGGAGGAGGACTAGTAGAAGGTGTGAGACCAAGAACTTGCTCAAGGAGCGGAACGAAGTACGGCCGAGGCCGTGTAGCGACTCCAGACACAGCAGGGTTAGCTCCAGCACCCCCAGCGGTATCACCAGCACCAGGAGCACCTCCAGCTCCAGTACCCCCAGCAGCTCGATTAGCTCCAGGACCTCCAGCAGCACTAGTAGTACCCCGAGCAGGACCGCCTCCAGTACCGCCAGCGCCAACACCCTCAGCAGCTCCAGCTCCAATCGGACCACGAGAAGACGCAGTGGCTCCAGCTCCAGTAGTACCCGCAGGCCCAGCAGCTCCAGTACTCCCAGTACGAACACCTCCGGGATCCATGGCACCAGCACCCTCAGCAATCGAAGAACCTCCAGCTCGAGAAGCACGCCTCCAACGCAGGGCAAACCACTCACGCACCTCCTGTGGAGAGAGTGGCTCCCGTCGAGACGGAGCACCCGGAGAATCTCCAGGCCCAGCACCGCCAGACGCCACACGAGAAGGCCC